AAGGGGATTTGTAACTCACTATATCTGCCACGAAAATAGTGAACGGGTGTAGTTCCTGTTGCCGGATCAGCACACTCGTTCATCTGTGTTAGTACCCACTTAAGGTGGTACGGCCAATCATCTGCATCATCCGTTAATACAGTACGCAATAAGAACTTGAGTCTTCTATGGCGCGGTTCATTCGCGCCTTGCGTTTGCCGCTTATATGGCACACTTCTCTTATGGCATATGCCTGATTCGAGTACTAGCAATTCCATAACGTCATCGCAGAACTCACTACCGTTGTCAGTGCACACAATACCTGGCCACCCGTGGTCAGGAAAGACTTGGCAACATAGAGAGGTACAGAATGCCATTACATATCAGTAAATAGGCATCAGGGCAATGATAGGGCAGAGAGGGACTTGCGTACGATTGTGGATTGGCTTGCTAAGAGCTTGCCGATTGGGGAGGAAACCTTATCGCCAACGTATATATATATATATATTCACTTATGTTGGCGTACAATGCGACAGTGAATTCGGCCACGGGTATCAGCCCATACTATCATGTTACGGGCCGGCATTATACGGGGCAGGTTGATTGAGTAATTCAGGCGAAGTTGTTAGATGTGATAAGTTCTGAGCTTCTGGGTGAAGCTGCTGTGCGGGATAGATTGGTGGCCAATAGAGATGAAGTAGCAAAGAATGCGCAGGCAAAGGTGGCAGACAAGAATAGAAAAGAGGCACCAGATTGGCAGCCGGGGCAGTTGGTTTGGTATACTGATAGGTCGAAGGGCGATAACCTATTTAGCGAGAGGCACGATTGTTATGAGTCAACACTTACAAGGGATGTACAAGGTCAGAACTAATGGGAAGATTACGTCAATACATGTGGATCAGCTTAAGGTGAGGTTAGGGTTTAGGGTTTTATTAGAATGCGTACGAGAGAAGCTTATTTGACCTGGCTCTACAATTATACTGGCGAAGGGGCAGCTAGTGTCACATAACTTGATGAAATGGTGGCAGTATTGCGATTAACAAAGGTGGGAAGGATTTGGTTATATGTCATGAATTCAGCTTTTGGTATATACATTGATACGATAGTCGATGCGACGAGGCGAGGTGAGAGTAAGGGCGTGGTAGAAGATACTTTGGATTCGGCTATGAAGCATCACTTTAATAAAAACAGGTGGAACAAGTTGCAGATGTTCTTCCAAGTTGCGAAGGTTCCGATTTTGCGAAAGAAATGGTTGAATGAATGAACTCAACACTAATGTCTTGTCCATTGGGGAGGTGTAATGTCAACCATATTTACCTCCGATTTAAAACAATGCTGGTGTTGTAAATACCGAACTGTTCGGTAATATTCCTGGGCGTTAATACGAGTGCGAGAACTTATAAGTGTGGGCGATAACTTATAAGTGCGACTTCTCAGTTGTATTGTGCGGTTTGTTGGCGAACGGCCGCGCAGGCTCGAAAGAAGAGGAGGTTGGTGTATGATTGGTGCTTTGCGAACCGAAGTGATGGTTAATATGAGCTGGAGGTTGGCAAATGACGATATATGTTGAATGGACTTGTAGGTTCGAAATTGAGTAGATACACGATTTGATTGGCGGCAGGATTCTCAAGGAAATCCTTCGGAGATAGTATAAATACGTGGTTTAGTTCATTCAAGAAGTTCATTCTGTGAAGGTAGACGTTTATTCAACTATTGAGGAAATAAAACTAGGTTCACCGTTACATTGTGTTTTGAGTCGATCTAAGATTACAATAGGTACTTTCCAAGTTTTTCAGTTGACGTCTTAAAAGTTTTTCAGTTGACGTCTTAAAAGTTTTTCAGTTGACGTCTGATGATCATTTTGTTTGTTGTATTCATTCCTATTGTTGTTGTCTATACTTTTTAAAAAACAACAAACAAAATAAATAAATAGCAGCTGGAACTTTGGTTCAGCCTCTAGTCTACTAGTAGTAGAGGTCTGTGAGAATTCACAACACTTGTTTGTATTTTTTTTTACTAGTTTTAGCCTTCAATTTTTAGACAGTTTATATGGTCGGAGAGAGAGAGAGTTTTGAAATGAGATAATGTCAGCATGTCAGACACTCTGGGCCCTGACTCCCTGAGCCCCTGACAGTCACCTGTCAGACGCTGATGAGTGATGCCTGAAGATCTATACTCTGAACTTCTGAAGTGACACAAAAAGAGTGACTGTCCACTTCGAGTCATCGACTCATCGAGTGTCGACTGCAGTCAGATGTCATCAGTGTCTCAGGGAGCCCCAGTTTCCAGCTTTATATCCGCCTCCGCCCTCCGTGGCCCCGGTCCCCGGTGGTGTTTTTAAAATGTTCGACTGATGGCCGAAACAATACAGTATGTACAGTACAAATTTACAGTCCCTACAAATTTACTTTTTTTTTAAATTCATTCGTATTTTCAAAAACATCTGAATATTTTCTACTAGAACAATATCGTCACATGGACATTTAGCTCCCCGCTCCACTGCTGCCGCAGATTTTTTTTCTCCAGTAGTTTGTCGCTGGTTTTATTAAGAGAGCTTCAATGGTATTCTAACTAAAATGGCATCATTGGTGCGATTTAATTGTTTAATACAGAGTAGCTTAGTGGGGTTTGTTCTCGTAGTCAGTTTCAGTGACATCACTTGTCAGTTGTCCCTATAGAGTTATACAAGAAGCGTAGTTTTATTTTTCAAAATCTTGTTTTTTCTATTAAATAGTAGTAGTTTACTACTAGTGAGTGAGATGACTGTACAAAATTTACTACAGTAGACTATTCACAGACAGATTGTTATCAACAATTTATCTCAAAACAAAAAGAAAAAACAATCTGTGATATCGACGAGTAAGTCGAAAACCAGTATCTTTTTATTTTCCTTTTTTTAATGTCACGAGATAACAGCTCCCCAATTATTTTTAAAATATAAATCAAAAAGAGACATAATACTAAAAAATACAGCCCACCCCAGTGACCCCACAGTCACAGTGAGGGTACAAGTTATACGGCACTGGTGACAATAAAAATTTTAACCACCTCGTGCCAAGTTTCCTACCAATCTCATACCTATACTTTTTCGAGTTTAATTTGCTTAAATATAGGTGTATTAATGTGATCAGCGTGATTTTAAGCACTTGTGAGATGTTTGTTTTCTGCCAGTTCGTTTGTTATCTGTCGGCTGAAAACGCTCGACTTAAATGTTAGATATTGTAGCGCGGATACAACCCATTTGTTGCATTTATGTTAATTCCTTGTCGGTCTTAAAGGCTTGACAAATGATAGAAGTTAGACACATGTATATAGGCGTCCTCTGTCTTAGCTATTGCTTCGGATTCGCCCATGGTTTCACGGTTGACACTATTTGTGTCTAACATACGTCGACCTCTCCCTGAGGCCGACAAAGAACTAATACAACAAGTGCAATAAATGGGCTAAAATCACGCGAAATACATCTTTAAAAAGCAAAGCATACTCGAAAAAGTATAAGTATGAGACTGGTAGGAAACTGGGCCTGAGGTGGTTTATAATTTAATGTCACCAGTACCGTATTTATAAGACATTCCACTCAGCCCACCTGCATTTGTTGAAATAAAAACAAAATTGATCACATGTAAATAACACATGTTTTCTTGTTTCGTTTTTTTAAAAAGAACAAAATAGAAGACAAAAATGAAATATATACCTCTAAATTTAGCTTGCTCAATTCTCTGGTGGTCTAAATAAATGTGTAAATACCAGGCCCAGCAGTCCAGGTCTTGGCCTTGCCCAGGTCCAAGGATGACACTAAATATACAGTCTTCGACTATGGTTCTAAAGTCTATGACTCTATGCCCTATGGTGCATAGCATTAAAACTGGTCAAATAGTTCGCATGGTTTCCGGTTTCTGCTACTTTCTCTGGTCTAAATAAAAGTGTACCAGGTCCGAGTCCTGGCCTCATCAGGCCCCCTAGTCCAGGAGTTCCAGGTCCAGGGTCCAGGAGGACTCTATATATAGAGTTTATATAGAGCTTATGGCCCATTAGCTCTATGAGTCTATGACTCTCTATGGCGCCCAATGTCATTTTCAATTTTTCATTCTCCATATTTAAACTTTTTTATAACGTTTCCATTGTCGACGTCACGCTCCGGCGGGACTGAAATTGACCCCCGTGTGTCGGACTGTCGCCTTTCGGTGTTTATAATGTTGTTTTGTCTTTTAAAAAAAATATTATATATATAATAGGGCCTTTAGACGACTATTTACTCTACGTACACATGCAAAGTGCAAACCATCTGATATAAAAAATAGGACAATGGACAGTGGACACTTGTTGGACCCTACCACCACCAGAGTGGGCCCAGGGCCTCAGGTCCCCCTCAGGCCCCACCGCTCCAGTGGCCCAGTTATTAGTACATATTTAATGCTCTATTTAATATTTAGCCACTCTCCAGCCTCCACTCTTTAGTATCACAATCAATAGTTCGCTACTGTATCAATTTTAAAAAAAAGGCAAACGGTTTAAAAACAATTTAATTATCTGCCATAGAAGAGTTTAGCTTGTACTCAAAAATAGTATATTTGTTGCGATCGTCGTCAGTAGCTCAAAATCGACTAATCGCTGTAGAGAGTCAGAGCAGAGTAAAAGAATGAGTATTTGAAGAAAAAAAGAGTACGAATAGCGAAATGATCAGTTGGTGTATTTGTATTGGCAGTGATAGAAAACTGACTTTGTTTGGCTCTATTGTGTAGCTAATGTGCCGTAGTCCGTAGGTAATGTAAATGTTTTCTAGAAAATTAGCTCGCTATTAAACTCATCAGAGCAGTATTATTATATTATATGAAAGTGCTGGCGATAGGATAGATTTCTGGTAATCAGCTGTGCCATCTGGCAGACTGACAGCTGGCGGCCTCACAGGCCCAGCCGACCAGGGCTCAGGCCTACTCTCGCGCTGTGGCGGCAGGCGGTCATTGAGGCCAATGTGCATATATATACCTGTTGATTGCGTCCAGGATTTTCAAAAAGGTTCTTGCGGTTTTTGAGACGTAACGTAAACTGCACTTTCAAAGTCTGCATCATGGGGGATCAGATCATAGTTATAGACTCACCTGTTGACGCAGTCGAGATAGATCAAGTTTTTATCCGTAAAAGTATCAAATTTGTGCTACCTAATAATAGGGTGGATGAATTTGTTAGCTTAGTAAAGCCGCAACTACCAATATCACCTTTCAAGCTACCCACAGGTGAAGTGGTAGAGTCACAAGTGAACAACAGCTCGTACTTTGATGATGAATACTGTAATATGTTCAAGGAGAGAGTTGTTAAAGCAGAGGCGGCCGAGTTATATCGTGTTAGATGGTACGGAAACGATTTTAGTAGAGTCGAAGACTTGTACGTTGAAAGGAAAAGACACCACAACTACAAAAAGGTCGGCAAATACTCGAACAAAAAGAGATTCGACTTACCTAAAGAAGAGATGGCCCGTTTCCTACTAGGTGCACCTGTTGAAGAACTTAACCCTTCGAAAGCCAAACTTGCCAGCGAAGTACAGACTGTCATGATGCAGTTGAAGCCCAAGGTCCGCACACAGTATCTCCGAACTTCCTTTATGACACAGGATAACACAGATCTGCGAATTACGCTAGACAGGGACATTGCCGTGTATGCTGAGCCTAATTCGTGGCAGAACATTGCCAATATCAACGGTGTTGCCTCTGGTGAATTCGACATGATGCCCTACAGTGTCGTTGAGGTCAAGGTGAGCATGGTAGAGGGTGGCACACCAGAATGTCCCCCGTGGATCGAAGAAGCTCTCTTCCAATCTGGTGCTCGAAAAATAAAGCTGAGCAAGTACGGCTACGGTGTGATGAAGCTATACCCGATCCACGCACATCCCAGTCCCAAATGGGCCCCAGAGATTGCCGCCTGGACTTCAGAGCTCGGCTTTGATCAGCAAAATACCGGCGCTACTCTCGCCGCACCAGCCGTAAGCCACGCCGCCATCTCTATTGAGAGCCCACCCAGCTACAGATCAAACAGCTTCGACAATTTCACGGACACAGCATCAACCAAGTCCGCGATGATGAGGGCCAACTTCCAGAGAAAGTACGGTAATATATTCAGCAAAGCACGACGACATGGTATGAACCGGAAAAAGTACGGCAAGACGGACGGAAAGGCTTTCATGGCTAATGAGCGAACGTTCCTGAACTACATACAATGGACAAGTAGTCTGGCCACGTTTTGTGTGGGGCTACTACAAATAGCCACTGGATCCGAGGTACTTTATGTATCCACAGCTATCATACTGTTCTGTGATGCGCTCATCTTCTACGCGACGATCATCTACCAGTTGAGAAGAATATACTTTGTGAACAACATCGCCTCCAGGGGTGGTCGGGTTCCAAGGTCGTTTAACGAGTGGAAGGTGATATCTGCGATCATGTTGGTATTCTTTATCGCTGTCAATTCATATATTGTGTACATGTGGGTAGCGCAACCAGAAGTGCTCACGGGGCTGACAGACTCTGTAGTATTACCGATAGTCTGATCAGACAATTAGAATTGCCATAACGTCATCAAATCCTGCATTCGGGATGAATAACAAACAATAGAATGCCTCATGTAAATAAATGAAATCGTTTCCGAAAGTTGAGCTATCATTCATTTGAAAATATTCATCGATGGTAAATAAAATAGGAGAGACATTCAAAAACGCGCGGTCAGAATATACTAATTGCGTTGTTCTATTTTTAACAAAGTGAGCTGTCAAACTGTTGCTGCATAAACGTGAGATGAATATCGAGTTATGGACAAATGAAATAGAACAATTTAGTATCGTTTTATTCGGGTGATATCACTCGGGCTGAATATTTATTTATATATATATATATATATACAAACATATATATATATATATATATATATATTTATATATACACATACACACACATATATATATATATATATACAATGAAGTTCGGTTGTATTATTATAGATATTTTTACACGCCTAATAGAAGTGTACCACATAATTTTGATAGCCGTAATCAATAAATAAAATCAATGAAGTCATGTGTATAATATACATGCATATCATGATGCATATACAGACCTAAAAGAGTACCACATAGTTTCAATTGCTGTAACTATTCAATATAATTAAAGGAGTTATACATGCATATTATGCATATACAGACCTAAATAGCATCACATAGTTTTGATTGCTACAACCGTTCAATATAATCAGTGAAGTTCGTTTATTTTACATCCATATACACCTAAAAAAGTACCGGCAGGCTTGCTTGCTATAATCATTGAAGTTGGGATACTATCATACAACTATACAGAGCTGGAAATGCCCTCAAGTAGTTCTGACTGTGCACGCAGCCCTCAATACCAACTAATTTTTGTCAGCAAAACTGCACTGTCCCCTATGCGGCGCACAACGGGTCTTAATCCTCTACCAAAAATCCGGGAGTTTATAAACAGTACAGGAATCGACAACGTCGGCACTCTCTGTCAAAGCGAGGCAAGCACGTGACAATCGAATCCCTCACTAAACTGCACCATCGTCCTTCGGCATACGATCGGACGGGGCACCCCGTGCACTCACCCGTTGTCATGGTAACTCAGCATCCAGCTTGGACACTATATCCGATTCCCGTCCCATGCAACCAAACGTACCCGTCCCTGCGCTTCGCTTCGCTATTGCGCCGAGACCTGCGCCTCTTTATTATACCAATTGGACACATCCGAGCCATTCTCCGCAAACCACAGACCGTACTGCAGCACCAACGCACCTAACAGCAGCACAGTGATTAAGATGGGCCCCATTTTGCTTTGGAACTCTTCCCCACCGTTCTTTATCATGCGGTCGCGCTTCACAAACGTCCACAGAGACATGGCCATAAACAGGATAGCCACAGGGATCATGATCGCCCCCGCAATGATGGAGGTACGTGAACTGGCCCCACTATTTGGGGACAGGTTCATCAGGGCCAGACCGGTGGAGGATATGAGCACGGCGGTGTGCAGCCAGTTGAGGAACGTGCGCTCGTTGGCGAAGTACACCTTGGGTTCTGCTTTGCCACTCATGGTGGTGTGTTTGTGTGGGTTGCTTGGAAGGGGTGTATGTTGGATTGGGGTGGGTGTTTTAATAGGCCTTGGGTGCGGTGTGGTGTAAGAGGCGACCTTAGTAGCCGAGTGACTTCGGTTAGTAGCGATAAGGCCGACGCGGGTGAAGCAGCCTGGAGTCTCTTGTGATACCACTACCTGCAACGTTTGTACAGGAGAAGAATACAATCATCCATCAATCATCAGCATACAGGGATACATACCAAATGGCATGATACATCCGAACATTGCCAACACAAGGTCACCGCTGCAATGCAAGGATTCGCATGTTCGTATTGAAATCCAAAACAGAGTGTAATGAGGTATTGCTATGCTAAAGAATAGAAGGGTATCGTTCCCAACTAGTCCAAGTCGTTTATACTACAAATATTTATTACATGTTACTACTGATTTTGTATATTTTATACTTCACATACAACACATTACATACTATATATTGCACGTATTTATATGAAGGATTATATTCTACATACCAAATAACACAGAATACATAGATTACACATACATACATAAATACATGCATACAACTTCACGAATACAATATACTTACATCTCATGCAAACATAATTATCTATATGAGTATCTATATATACGCGCACACATACTTATATATATTTTATAAGAATCTATATATACGTATAATATATATAAATATAGCAATTCAGATATATATATATATATATATATATATATGGATATAAGTATGTATCTAATAGAAATATAAAATATGTACAAAT